GTGCGTGCCATATTGACGAGGAGCCCGCCTTGAAACAGGACGGCCTTACATCCTCCCTGCGCGTGTCCAATAACGCGAAGATCTATGTTTACACCATGCAAAGTCGCGAATACATATGTTTACACTATGCAAGGGGGTGGCCAACGAGATCCACCTTTCGGAAGACCACCACCCAGCCGTGTACCTGTTGCCCAGGTTTAAACCTGTGGCCATGCACTCCGAAGAGGTAGCGTGCGAGAACACCATGTTGAAGAAGAGCCGCCCTGGATCCGTGCAGGGCTGCATGTATGTTGAAGCCACGGGTATTCCAAATGAGCGAATGGAACGAAGGCACACGATTGTGCGAAGCTCTGAGGCAAGAGCGCCATTTTGAAAACGACCTGTGCTCAAACCATGCAACTGTTGCAAGATCTTGAGGCGAAAGTGCGGGGTTCTGCGGCGGCTACATCATTTTGAAGAAGATTTGCCCTCCATCATGCAGACTACTGCACCGTCAACGTGTTATAACGAACGTGTGCTACAACACCACTTTGACAACGGGCCCCCTTCAGTCCCTGAAGCCGTTGCAAACTTTTACGACGAAAGTGCGCGACGCTACGGCGAGAGCCACATGTTAAAAGGAAACTGCCCTCCATTCTTGAATCTGTTGCGAGCTTTTGAAAAGTGTGCTCCGCGCTGAGGCGAGAGCCACACGTGGAAAAAAAAACGCCATCTCCGTAGCTGTCGCAAGGCTAGAAACCGAATGTGCGCCTCGCTAAGGCGAGAACCACATTTTGAAAACCACCTCCTCTCCATCTCTGAGACTTGTGCGAACTTTCAATCACGAGTGTGCACCGCGCTAATGCGAGAGCCAAATGTTGACCCCCACTCTATCCTTGAAACTGTTGCAAAAATTCAAGCTCCAAAATCACAAATGGTGAAGAAGTCTCAGGCAACGCCCGGTCCGCCCTTCCGACCCGCCCCCGGGGTGCGACAGGGAAGAGTTCTTAGAGGGCAGAAAGATAAAGGAGGATGGCCTCCCCCACCTCAGGTTGCCCGACCACTGCTGGACCCCGCTCCGACCCCAAGTCTTTCGGCTAGCCCTCTGTCCAACCCAGCGCCTCCGCGGGTGATAGAGCCGAAACATGGCCACAAGAACGCAGGTCAAGAACATGAGCCTCTTCGTCGCAAGCCAAACGGCCCCATGGAGGTACCCCAAACGAGCAGCATTCCAAGGCGAAGAGCCCCAGCACAGAGAGCACAAGGGTGCCCCTCCCAGGCTAAGGTTGGTATAGACCCCAGTGCCGCCTACAATCAAGCTGGGTCAACGTCGAGTGTGTTTGTTTCTCCTGCGCAAGTGTGCGCGAACGTCTTCTGGTCTACCTCGCGTTTTCACGGCCATGCGCAGTGAGGCGAGGCTTTAAATTCGGCGGCATGAAAAACAACACAAGAATAAGAAACAATTGCATCAGCAAAACCATTTGGAGGTCCACGTGTAGATTTCTTGGGTTGGCGCTGGACCCCCCTCGCTGGCACCTGGCGAGCACCAGGAGGGCGCGGCGCCAATCCAACAAATCCGCGCAGACCTTCGACAGTTTATGTTCACACAATTTCTTATTCGAAACTAGTCACCCGCCCCAGAACCTGCCAGCTCGAGGGCGCCGCCCTTGCCAAGAGCACGCTGCGATGGAAGGACTGGGAAAGGCCCCCCTGGTTGGCGGTGTGGAGGCGGATCGAACGGGAAGGAAGCTGAAAAGGGGCGGATCTGCCAATCTGGTTGATTACGCTCCTAATTACTTGCTCTCCGAGCGCGCGGGCATCAAGCAAAAGAGCACGGCTTCGGCCCGTCCGCAAACCTACCTTGCAGACAGTCCCCCTCCGCGCTGCCTATCCGCGAATAAACTGAAGCACTGGCTAATTAGCAGCGGCGGCGATGCGCAAGCGATGCTCGCCATTGCACTGGGCGGCGGCACCAGCCATAAGGGCGCGGCGCTGCGGAGACCGCCGATGATCGGAAGGAGAGAGGGACGAGGAGGACGACGAGCGCACTTCATGTAAGACGGAGGCAAAAGCAATCAACGTGGGATCGGGAAATCGGATCGAATCAGAATGAGCGTCGGACCAAGCTGCACCAACACGGAATCGAAATCAAACCGGCTGCTTCAAGATACGCAACCGCGCCATGCGAGCACCTGGCCGCATGGGATCGTCGGAATTTCGAATCTAACCAGATCGGGCCAGCCGAAATCAAGATCGAATGGGATCGATCGGATCTGACATGGACCCTGGGAGGAGGAGCATGGAAGAGCAGAGATGCCGGATCCGGCACGTGCACATTGAATCGTTAGCTACTCGCTGCCGGGCCACCCCGTCTGGCCGCCGAGAGGAAAGCCCTTGCGGCTGCCGCCGGGTGTGCGGCATGCTCCCTGCGGGGACATGCGGAGGGGGGGGGCAGAGTGAAGAGTGAGGAGAACTATAGCATGCAGGGAAAGGGGTCCTGAAGGAAAGGGGTCCTGTACTTTTGTTCGCCGTTTTCGGGTCTCTGGAGGCCTCCACGGTCACCAGGACCTTCAAAGAACCAATTCGGACTCACTCGCCAATCCTGGGGAACGCCCCCGGAGTCCAGGCCATGTTTCCCTCAGGACACCCTTCCTTCATGGCGAACATTCCCAGAGGCCTCCCAGATGCGGCCAGAGCAGACTGTGCCGGAGGATCGCGCCGATTCATCGGGATGGAGGGATTGAGAATAACGGACTCCATATCGTGCCGTACCGCCGATGCATCGGCGATGCGGCGCGATCCTCCAACCCCATCCACTCCATCGACATTTACGGCCTGCAGGGCTGGACGAGCAAACCCATCTCCACCCCCACCAGGGAAACCTTGGCCCCGCTGAGCGACCTGCCCCCCCTAAGTGGGGACGGGTGCCGTCTCGCTCGGGCTTCGGAGGAGGAGGGGGGGGGGTACAGTCGGCACCCATCCCACCCTGGATGGGGGTGCGGTCGGCACATGCGATACGAAATCCTGCTACAGCAAGTCTTGGGGCACGCCTGTCGTCGAGCTTTGAGCTTCCTGGTGTGCCCCACAAGCCCCTGGGGGCACCCGAGGACATCGGGAGATGATGAACTTCCTGGGGGCACTTGCGTGCAGGCTGGCTTCTTATTTTTGACGTGCCTGTACGCTGGCAGACCTACCTGCCCTGTCGATGACAATGCACGATCAGGGAGACGTAAGACTCGGGTACGGGGGACGCGGGTTGGCGTGACGGGGTCATCATGAAAATGACGAGACCCAATTTGAAATTTGACGCGAGCTACCGCTGCAAACCTCCTACGAAAACTGGACCGTCAAAATCCAGGATGCGCTCGTTAGAAAACTTCGGCAAACCCGAGTTCTGGCTTACTCGAGTCTTACGTCTCCCCGACACGAGAGGGGGCGGAGGCCAGGACCAGTCAGCAATGCATCGGGAAACCGGATCGGATCGAAGTGTGCATCGAATCGGGCCGCATCGGCACGAGGTCGAAGCCGAATCGGAACCCTCCGCGCCAGGATGCACAACGGCACCCATCCAAGCATCGGGACGCATCGGATCGTCGCAACATCGAAGTCGAACCTCACCGGGCCAGGCGGAATCGATCTCGAATCGAACCGATCGGATCGAACTGGGCCCTGGAAACTGGGAGTCGGAAGGGACCCGAGTGTCGGAAGGCGGCAAGGGCGTGAGCAGGACGGGGAGCGGCAGGGAGCCAGGCAACTGATCACCGCGCTGCAGCTGCTGGCAAGAGCGCCTCGAAACGGGCAGGCGGCCCTGTCCAAGCTGCACGCGGGAAGACGCGTGATGCGTGACCTAACACTAGGATCAGAGGAGGCTTGATGAACAGCAGAGGTGAGTGGTCTTGACCTTGGTCAGGGTGGCCTCTTCTGGTCATCATGCCCCCTGTCAGTCTTGCACTAAATTTACTTGAGTCAGCGAAGCATTTTCAGGCATGCCCGGGGGGCGTGCACCGCCCTCCCTAGGATTGACTACCTCTAAAACAACGAGTGGTGGCGCAAGCTGAGACTGGCATGATAGAAACGGGGTCATGAAGGAATTAAGTCCTGGACGCCTGAGGGCCATCCCCTGGAGCAACTTTTCATCGCGAGCCGTTCTCGTTGACGGACCCAGGGCCCAGGAAGAGCCCCGAGAGGCCCGTAAGAGAGGCAACCATCAGGAGCCCTTCCCCCTATGGAGGTAGAACAACACACACATTTACATAGTTACGCTCTCGGAGCTCCGCACGGATTTCTCGGATGTGCGCCGGGCCCCCCTGGCGGCGCCCCTGGCACGCTCCGCGCGCTAGGGAGGGGGGCCCAACGCCGATCCGAGAAATCCGTGCGGAGCTCCAAAGGCTATATGTATGCTTTTTTCTTCTCCGTCGGCGCCGTCACGCCTTCTGGTCGTCATGTTGGTAGCGTTGAGCGAGCGGAGGGGCGAGCGAGCACCGCTGGGACAGAGTCGAGCGCCAGGAGATGCCAGGCGGGGATCTGTCCACAACCACCGCCTGGGGGATCGATCTACGGACAACCCTGGCAGGCGGTGTGGATACACAGTCGGGCCCCCAGGGGGCCACGGATGTCCACATCCACCGCCTGCCGAGGTCCCCGAAGATCGCCCCCCCCCCCCCCCCCTCCCCCCCCGGGCGGTCGGTGGTCATGGGTAAATCCCCGCCTCGGATGTGAGGGTGCATGGGAGCAAGTCTGAGGTCGGGCATGTCCTCCTACAGGCGGATTTTCGGAGAACATCTATATACACACATATATATATATAGCCAGAAGTTCCAACAAATTGTCAGAAACAGTAGAACGATCGTCGCGAGACGATTTTTTTTGGCTACTTTTGAATATTCCTCCTGTAGACGGACATGCCCGACCTAAAGCAAGTCAACGCGTACTTCAGCAGCTGCCGAGGCCACTCCTCCCGGCGCGGCCAGACTCGAATTACACACCTTGCGAATTGGCGGAGTGGCGGCCTGGCCCGCTGCTCACTCAGGCTGCGGCAGGGCTTCCGAGCCGCTGGGGATGTCCATGGGCTGCCCGTCAACGGCCAGAAAGCGCGCCAACCCCGCTCTGTGCCTGGTCCGCGCTGCCCTCGCTGCAAGCGCCAGGGCGCCGACCGCGCACGCTGCCACCGCGGCCCCAGTGGCCGGCAGCCACCCGCTGCTGCTGCCGCTCGAAGCGCGGACAGGGCCGCGCATCATGGAGTGCTTCTTCATGACGATCTTCTCGAGCTGCCCCCCGGAGGCGACCTGGCTCGCCGCGCCGACGCTGGCCAGCGGCTCGTCGGAGTTGTACTCCCGGATGGAGTTGCGCACCCATTTGCCGGACTCCGACAGGTCGCCTTCCGACCAGCCCCCGGACCCACCGGCTCCGCCGCGCAGCGCGGAGCACGACTCCTCCTTGTTGCTCACTGCCCAGTTCGAGTCCGAGATGTGGTTCTCCTGGGAAAAGCCACAAGGTACCGATACCGCTGCTCCCCGGACCTCCCCCTGGGTGCGTTCTGATCAGCATTTGGGTGCGACTCCAGCCGCGGGGACGAGGGCCTCCCAGACGGCCCAAGAACCGCGACACCGAGGGAAGGGTGGCGGCGTCAGTGCGTCTTCCTCCCCCGATCTCCTCCATGAAGTCCTGCCAGGCCTGGGCCTCCTCCAGGTCCAGGCGGCCGTCGCCCGTGTACTCGCAGGTGCCCCACTCGGTGGCGAAGATGGCCGCGCCGTTGGCCAGGGCGGTCGAGACCTTCCCGCGGAGGTCGGCGCCCATGGAAGCGGCGTAGAAGTGCACCGTGTAGGCCAGGTTGTCGCCCTGGACCGGGTCCTGCGAGGCCACGTCCACCTCCTGCGACCACGTCCTGGTGAGGATCAATCGAGAATCTCTGAGATCCAGCGGCCTTCTCAGAGCGTTCTGGAACGTTCTGCGAGCGTCCCAGAGCGCTCTGGAAGAGATTTCTCCTGGTCCTAGCCCCGTCCAATCCTGGTGCCCAGGATGATGATGTTGTCGGAGTGCTCCCGGATCACAGGGACGACCTGCTCGTGGTACGGCTTGATGACGCCCGACCAGTCGACCTGCTGAGGCTCGTTGTAGGTCTCGAAGAGCACGTGGGGTTTGTCGCCGTACATCTGGGCCATCTCGCCGAAGAAGGCCTTCGCCTCCTCGACGTGGTCCTCGCCGTGGTAGGCGTGCCAATCGATGACCACGTAAATGCCCGCGTCGATGCAGGCGTCCACCACGGCCTGCAGCTTCGCCTTCTCTTCTCCGGGGTTCTCCAAGTAGCCGCCCTGCTCAACGCCCATGGCGGCGCGGATGAATGACACGTGCCAATCCTCCTTGAGCCACCTGATAGTGTCCGGGTTCCAATACTGGCCCATCCACTGCGACCAAAACATGGACATGCCGCGCAAGCGCACTGGAAGCCCGTGCTCCCCGACGATCTTGTTGCCTTGGACGCGCAGCCGGCCGTGCTGCTTCACGGCCTCGACATTCGGCACCAAGGTGCCCGTGACCGGTGCCGCTGCAGGCGTCGGTGCTGGTGCCGCAGCCGTCGGAGCCGGGGTGGGAGCCGGCGTCGGAAACGCCTCGAAGCTGGAGTCTACCACGGTGACGTTGTAGGTCTTGCCGCCCACCCGCAGCCCGATGACGCCGCCCTCGGCGAGTGCCTGCGTGCCGTCGAAACTCAGGAGCAGCTCGGTGCCGGCAACCGCCTTCTGGTCCCTGCTGGTGCTCTCCTCGCACCAGGTAGCCGACCCGCACGAGCCGCACGCGGCCTTGGAAGCAGTGGAGCCACCGCGCAAGCCCCGGCGTTCGGAGGTCCGCGCGAATCTCTTGGGTTCGGCGCTGGGGGCCCCATCCCTGTTGGCGCCCTCTGGCGCCGCCCCTGGAGCGCTCCAGAGTGAGAGGAGGTCGTTTTTTTTATTTCTACGCAGGCGCGTCTTGTCCAAGCACAGCGTGCAGGGGAGACGAGGCGAGGAGGAGGAGGAGGAGGAGGAGGAGGAGGAGGAGGAGGAGAGACGGTACCCAAGTGCCGAGCCCGCGGCGCCTTCAGCCGAGGCGGGACAGCTCCCCACCCCCTCCAGACTGAGGGCTGGGAGGGGGAAGCCGCAAGCGGCTGAGAGGACATCCACCTTGAGCGATCGCAACTGCTGTCCAATGGCGCAGATCGTTCGAGGTCGGCCGATTCCAGGCCGCTGGCGGTGTTCAATCTTGACCGCCCGCGCTGGGATTGCCGCTGTGTGTGTGTGTGTGTCTGTGTGTGTGTGTGTGTCTGTTTTTGTACGTATGTGTGTGTGTGTACGTATGTACGTATGTATTTATGCATGCATTCATGCATGTATGCCTGTATGTATGCACGTACGTAGAGGTTCCCAACCCGTCCCCCCCCTCGAAAACCAGGGGGGTGTCACTACCGGTTCGAACCCCACGCCCCAATCCATCATGAAAAGGGGGGGGTCACTACCGGTTCGAACCCCGAACCCCCTCCCCTCGAAAACC